TTTGGTGAAATATGATTATATAATTAATATTTTTAAATATTACAAATTCTTAAATTACATCTTAGGCACATTATATTTGGCTTATTGGCATAAACTTACATTTAATATTCTTATGTACATATTGTGAACACATAGCACGGATAATGCAATACATATTTGGCATATATAGGTATCACTTATTCGATTTATAATAAATTATATACTTTACAACTTATTTCTATTAAATTTGCAATTGAAAATTAATTCAATTTAATTCTTACATTTATCGTAGTTTCAAAAAATTAAAAATTTGAATTGGAACAGCCTCAAAAAACTTTAAGATTTTCAGTAATAATTTAATATAAGTATAAAACCACATCTTATTTATTTTATCTTTTTCTCGTTATCTCGGAGCATAGTCGTGTACATATCCACCAAGAGTAGCCCTGGTGACCTGTCCATAAAATCCCTGATGGTAAGGCGAGGCTGCAGTCGGTTGTTGGGTCATACTATAAGGTCTGCTCGCAGGATAAACACCAGGAGGTTGCATCGACCCTGGACTCGTCCTTGAATATTTGTCATAAGGACTTGTAGAATATGGACTTGTGAGATGATGATGGGATGAATGAATCGGTCCATAACTGCAAAGATCTCCTGCATATGGACTTCCAAGAGCAGAAGGAGTTTGATGTTGCGGACTGGTAAAAGATGTAAGTGAAGATGTCTGGGGGTGCTGTTGTTGATATTTGAGGTCGATTGATGTCACTGGTGATAATTGTTGCAGTGTAGGAGGAGTCGAGGCTGAATCTATGGGTGTGTGATGTGGACTGCTATCATCTGAAAGAAATATTAAATTAAAAAACAGATGTCACAACTAAAGTCATACTTTTAAATTTACTAGATATTTGATTAAATGAAAAATATTTATTAAGAATTGTTGTAACCCTGTATTGATCTCAACGATTGTACAGCATTTATGTATTGATGCTGAATATTGATTTGTTTATCGATTTTCATTATCCATGGTATTTTCGACAATAAATTCATAGAAAAATATTTTAAAAGTGATTAACAGCTAGGTCTTGATTGCGTTTATCCATTAGTTTGTATAGTCGAGGAATTAAAACAAACGTATCCAAGTAGGAGACGGTCCAGCTGTTCAGTTTTAGGCGATTCATCAACGTCCAAATCAGAATCAACACCCGTTTATACAAAAAACACACACTGTTCAAAGAATCGACGATAAGTGGTAAATTCACGAAGTTCGGCTCAATCTTCTTTAAAATATATTTATTTAACGAGAGAATACAAAAAATCTGCTCGTCCATTTGTTTATATGTATTTATCTTTAGACAAAATAGGCTTTCACTTTGAGAGAGTTTGTATTAAAAGCGATCCCGCTTGAATGGCAGAATACACAAACATCTAGGGCAGAAAAAATATTTGTAAGAACACTTTGAAAGTATATTTATATCGAACGGATTCTTAATTGAAGTGAGAAATGTTACAGGAATGCGATTACTATAAACCAACAATAAAGTAGAAATATACATAATATTATATTATTTTATATAAATTGAAAAACTCAACGAGAAGTTTATGTTTTCACGAAAAAAATCTTATTTGCTAATTTTATGTTTGTTTGGCGTTTCAAGTCATTCTGAATAGAATGAGACCAAATTTGAAAAAAGTATGTGTGTGTAAGTCTATGTGATATTTCTTCGACGTTTTCTCAAAAACGACCGGGCCGATTTCAAATATTTAAAAACTATTCAATACACAAAATAAACATTTTACCTAAGCTGAATCTCAATTCTTATGGATTTGGTTGGTTCTGGATATGTACTATTTATAGTATCAAAATTTGCCTTTGTTTAACCAAACTTATATTCGTACTGAACCTTAATTAAATATAATTTCCTAATTAGTACCAAAAGCATTTCCAAGCCAATCGCATTTCAAAAACGTCCGGGGTAAATAAAATAAAAAGATTCTACTGAACTCAGACATTAAGCGGCCGTAATATTAAACCCGATGCGTCTTCAAAGGAGAGATCACTCGCCACCTGACATTTTTACGATGGTTCTGGCCGTCGCATAAACTGTAAATATTTATACGCTGAGCTAAGGTATTGGCTTCAGACGGTCTTCTACCTATAATTTATACCAATCAGAAGGCAACCTCGCCGGGAACAGGTAAACAAGATGGCCTGCGCACGTGGCTCGAACATGGAAGAAATTTTAGGCGTTTCTTAAATGAATTTTAGTTTGGAACTAACATTAAGGGGTCTAATTTTTCAGAAGGTCTTACTATTTGACGATCAAGTGGACGTGAACTTATCATTTGTGTAAGGTTACCTTAGATTATATTCATATTTACGGAAAACATAATTACTATCATATTGTAAAAGTAGGTGTATTTAGCATTTCGCCCCAAGGCAAGTTACAAAAATTTTCTGATATGAGTAAAATATCGACGGATAGAGAAATATCAACTTTTGAATTTGTGCCGATAAAAGTTTGGAAATTTTGTTCGAGATCTTTAATATTTTATTATATTTGTTAAAGATGATTATAATGTTCAATTAAAAAACAGTTCAATAAATAATTACGGCTTACCTTTGTTCTGAGTATTTTTGGACCGTTGCCTCTGCGTTGGCGCTTGTTGACCAAGTTGAAGCTGCGTCATAACTTCCGAGCTACTATAAAAAAAAATTATTTAAATTTAATTATTAGTATATTATAAATTAATAATTAACCCTTTCCACTAGCGGCATCTGAGTTGAAAGGGTTAATATGTATTCAAATACAAAATTGATAGCCAAAGAATTTATTTAATGATATATTATCCACAATTTATTAACTGCCCGTAGGATAAGTTATTGTAATGGGCCAAAAATCGGAATTGAAAATTTTTACATTTCTCGACGTTTTGAAGGTTTCTGAACATTTTGGCATACTTCAGAAAAAATGGATGTGTGTGTGTGTATGTATGTATGGATACAAATTTTCGACCACGTTTTCGGGCGTACGGATCAACCGATTTGAATGGTTTAAAAAACATTCGATTCCTATTGATAAGAACTTTCTGCTTGTCTTAACAAAATAATTGATTTTGGAAAAAAATGTTGTTTCATTTTTTTTTTCTTTTTTAATTTTTTGTATATCGAAAATAATAATTCAGATTTTATTTTTAATTCTGACTATAGTTCTAATATACTTTAAACAAATAATTTCAACTCAGCAATTCAGTTTATATAATTCTTATAAATATTAGACAATGTTACAATATTTATAATAATCTATTTGAAAACATTCAATATTCCTCGAACATTTTGTTACGGTACGGGAAGTTCCAGCAATTTGCCTTAAGGCACGATGCCACCCACCCTACTAGTTTATTCAATGTTAATCTTCCTTATTGATTATTTATTGTTGAGTCTTGATAATAAATTTTTGCAATTCGGTATTTGAAACAATTTTAAATCATCAGAACCCACAATTGTGGGTAGCAATAGAGGTGCAATATAATATATCGAGCATTATACAAGATATATCAATTATATCATTATAAAGTGTTTCGGTTTAATATTTATTTTGACAGAATTTTATATTTATTTTTGTATTCATTTGGGCTAGTAGAGATTGACTGATTGCGCTAATATTTATGATTCTTTCTGATTTGATATGATCTTTCACTACGTGCTGCAACAATAACAACCTCCTATCTCTATATTTACATTTATGATATAATATTTAGTATCGACTCATTTATCTAAAGTGATGGTAGTAGTTTTGATAAAATCGTTTTTCAAATCCTAAATAATTTTTAATCGAAAGTCTTCCAGAAAGCACTCAATGGCACTTCGCGCGATCTCTATAGGTAAATATAAACAGATGACGATAATCATTCCCAAATGTTTGCATTCGTATATAAAAGTAACGGATTTATTGCGATGGCGCATTCGAGTTGATGTGTTCGTGGCCGAGTGAGATATTTTTATGAAATCGTTGTACGAATACGAGCAGAACGATGTTTTTAACTAATTTATGAGTTAATAAGTTTATTTAATGCGCTTCTCGACACGTGAGGAGTTCTCGTAAGATTCACTAGAAGACGATAGACGGGATGGACAACCCAGAACAATAAGAATATTGAATATTTTATATTAGTGACTCATATTGAATATATATTGTGGCTCTCTACGTAGAGTTCAGTGTTTTACTGTTTTTGGTCTAATTTCTGGTTTGCCCCAAAAACCAACTTCTATCTTGTGCCTACTCAAAATTGATCAATTACATTTTTGCTTCTATATCAACGATATTATCTATACCTATTTTATTTAATATTTTAGTGGAACTAAAACTTGAGTTTATATTTTTTTCTCCAATTTTTCTCTCGGTTGTCGACCACTGGTGTAGTGTCTATCCGACGGCAAAGAAAGATTGAAGATTGAAGACCGCAGAATGATGTGTGAGGCAATTTAACGCTCGAACTTCGTCGAAATTTATGTGACCGACCCGTTACGTGTTATTTCGTACTTATGGCGCCTTTTTGTGATTGATATGGTTTTTAATTTAATTCAAGATAGTATATTGTACCAGAGTTTCGGGAACAAAATTATTAGAAATATATTTTTACCTATAAAATGCGTCGAGCTAAATTATTGTTGGACTTTTGTAATTGAAAGTTATTTTGGCTACTGTCGAACTGGAACTTTGATGGAACTTCGCATGGTGATAGAGTTGATAGACTGAATGAATCCCTTGTCAGGCCTTGGAGAATTGGTTTAATTTTAAAAATTAATTATTAACCTTATCACCATCAAAAGTTTCATCAAAATGCCAGAAGAGTAAATATGAGATTCTACTCGTTAGTGCTCATTTGGATGCCGATGCATTAAATTAAATTAGATTATTTGTCGTAGCACAGACTAGTGAAAAATCATAAAATGCTATTTTTATATACATTTGTTATTAAAAATACTTTTAATGAATATTGGGCTAATTATAAATGTGAACTTACCACTCATCTGAATCACAATCTCGAAAACCTTTTGCAAATGGGTTGCTTGCTATTTTTAATTGAGTTATCTAAAACACAAAAAAATAAAACTTTAATAACCAATAATGTAATTTATTATAATTGCATCTACTTAAGCAGAATGCGATTGTACCAAATATTATTTGATTTATCAGAAATGATTGGATCTATGAACATGCAAAATTTAAATAAAATATCTTACCCTATGATTTTGGTATGCTGTAACTGCAGTGAAACATGTTTCTGGAAATACGAATGTTTTGTAGTTTTCTGTAGTTTTTGGTTCGTTGGAGACACCAGATCTGTTCGATCGTGGAGGCATGTATAACACGTGAAATCTTGGTTGATATCGATGCATTGAATTCAGAATTATCTGAAAAATAAATAACCAATTGTAATTAAAATTCACTATTATTATTTTCTATTACGTTTAAAATTTGATACACGTACATGTCCATTATCATCCAGTTGATTGTTGGTCAATTTTAATTTATCGAAGGAAACAACTTGCTTCATCCATTGAGCTCCTGGTGCTGGTGAATCTGGATGCAAATGTATTCTTGGAGGTGATATTGGATCCGCCTTACCTGCCACCATCCAACTCGAACTAATTTTAAAATATATAACGTATTAGAAGCTATTCAATATTTTAATTTTTTCATAGTTTCTTTACCTATGAAAGGCGTAGCGATAGCGCTTATCATCTACAGGAACAAAATCCATCATTAACATATAGTCGACTTGAGGATCCATACCGTATAATCGACATTGGAATGTTGGAAACATTCTACGTCCTGCTTTGGTAACAATCATTTCTGTTCCCAATTCGTTAAATTCATCCCACAAAGCTTTCATTTCTAAAACAGCGCCAACATTTTGGAGCTTTTCGTGAACCGGCAAGGGTTGCTAAAAAAGTATAAAACATAGTACTATGTATTTTGATTAGATGACTTATGAGATTTTTTACTACCTTGTTTTTGGCTTTGGATATATTATTATTTTCTGAAGTGACATCGGTGTTGGTATTTTTTTCGTGATTTTCCGAAAGTGGTGAGTCTGTGATTCTCATCGATGCGGAATCGGCGTGTTCAAGAGGGCTGTAGGAGACACGGTCTCGGCCTGCACTTTGTAAACATGCTGAAAATAAAATAAAAAACTCAAATGATGAACACTATCTCTATAAACAAATAAAGCTCCTAGAACAAGTTGCTTTAATCGCTTTTTCTGACTTATTCATTTCATGTTTATACTAAAAATAATAATATTATGAATGTACGACAGTGTCCCATAATTTTTTTATGCCGACCTTCATAAATCATCGAACCGCCTGGACTCCTCGTCGAATGCGTTTTCAGTGTTTTAGTTGTGAGATGTCAGAAAAGCGCAGAGAGAATTATTGCCTCTGATATTTTTTTGGGTCGCGACCGTGCATTTGTTTTACTAATATACAATTAGTCAAGAGTTTCAGGCGCCAAGACCGTAAAAAGACACGAATTGAGAAAACTACAGAAATTAAAACATACCGATGTCTATTCTAATTTGTGGGCTCAGGGTAAAAGAGCTCTATAACTCAATTTTGGGGAGAACATCGTTAGTCACATATATAATAATATAATTATATTAACAACTTTATACACATAATAGTTAAGAAAGGTATTTGGAAAAATTTGAAAATAATCTCATCAAATATATCTTTTATCTCAATAATTCTCAATAACAGGCTGCATCTATCAAAAGGAATAAAATTATTTTTGAAATAGATGTAATACTAATGCTAATACAGGCTTGAATACATTAATAATAAATCCAATTTTAAAAACAAAGCTTTGTGTAACTAAATATTGGTGATCAAATTAATAAATTAAAACAATTATTTTTATACTACATATATGGAATGCAGTGAAATTAATTAGGAAATCAGTATGATACAATGTTGGAATTTTTAGTTACAAAATCTTAGCTTTTATAGTTTTTAATTTATTAGTGTATATATTATTAGTATAATTAATTTTATAGTTTTTATTTATTAGTGAGATACAGAAAACCATGATTTTATCATCATTGCTATCTCTTGTTCTTATGGTAAAAGCATTTTCTCCCTTAAAATAGCAGTTAAAACCCAATGAAATTTTAACTTAAGTAACGTGTAACTATCGTTACATTAAAATAGAGCAAAAGAGTTAGAATAGAAGAAAAATTAATATTTTAGAATTCTCCTTGGAGGAGGGTGTTATGGTAAAAGTATTCCATAAATTATTGAATACAATTCAATTTATTATTACAAAGCGTTGTATTATTATTTCAATTTATTATCAGATAGCGCTGATTTTATTAGGAATAGATCAGAATGATGGCTTGTGTATTATTTTAAGTTGTGATTACAGAACTTGCTTCTCACGAAATGTTGACCATAGAATTTAAACTAATAAACATATCACTCTCGATGGGAATTAGAAAACAAATCATTCATGACGCTAATGTGACATAACTATTAGTTCATATAATAAGCAAAGATTATCGATATATCAATATAATATTAAATTGGACTTATGCTATCATAATCTAATTAAATACTTGTAATTTATGTTTTTTGTCATCGACAAAAGCGCGTGTTCTATGAGCAGTTTTTTTAGCACCTTAACTTCTTATTTTTCTCGAGAAAGCAACCCAGCGGTCAACCATTCTTTTTGTTTATGTGGAGACTACATATACATATATGATATAAAAAATACTTTAAAACGTTATCAAATTTTTTTTTATGAAACACATTTATAGCCGAATTCTTTCTTAATATTTAACATATATGCAGTTATAGTTTATATTGTCAAAAATATCAAGAGCCAATAAATTCTCAAAATTTCTAACATTTTGGTGTTAGAAAATACAATATATGTACTTATTATAAATAGTTGATGTTGCGATTCAGTTGATTATTTGTTACTACAATTTTTCATATAAAATAAAATACTGTATTGATTCAAAATCTTATAAATTGTATTCAAAGTTCTGTAAAAATAATTATAATTAAAAGCAAATTAGATTCAATTAAAACTACCTGAGTATACGCAATTTCAAGCAAAATTATTGAATATTTGATCCTATAAAATATTAATACGATTACAATCCTATATGAGCGTATACGTATTTTTTGTCATAATTATTTTTTACTAATGCATCAATTTTTTTAAAAACATTACTTACTCCTTTAATTATTTTTGTCAATATTTTATTATTATTATTATATTTATTATTTACTGGTTCACACAGTGGATTATGTTAAACAATGCCTAAACATATATTGTTTTCGCAACTTCACTCATCATGTAATTGTGTTTGAAGAACTTGATGTAATTAAAATTAACATACATTCATTGACTGCTTGTATTTTTTACATTTTTGGGATATAATCTCATTTTTGAACAGCTGTAATATTTGTCTTGCCTAAAAAATATTTTATTTGTTCATTTACATTGCTCATTTATTTAGGAATGGAAAGCGTTAATATTTCTTAGACTTTATACGATATTATAAGAATAATTTTTTTTTTTAAATATAATATAAATGCAAACGTTTGTAAATTTAAGAATTTATCCCTTATTTACTACGATTTTATAACTATATTTTATATCCAACCTTCAATTTGCTTCATAGGAGTTGTACCAGCGCAGTATGGTGTCAACCATGGTTCCGCATAACAGCAATCTTGCCCATTCAGCAAGCCCTGGTTATTTCCTCCAGGATTTGTTTCGAGTGATCCAATTTCCCTCAAAGTATGCATATCGTAATCCGAACTGTGCATATTTTTACTACCAACAAAAATCTTCTATTCACAACCGCATGTTCACAATAAACTTGGAATCAAACCACAAAACATAATAATAAATCTCAAACTGTCCACTGGTCGTAAAATTTTGTAACTCTAATTTATCAATGATAACTGATAGTGGATTTATTCACCTTGTAACTCTAATGTCACTAATTGGACTGAATGGATGTAAATTCGTCAACAGGACAACCCGAGCTGTCAACGCGGACGACTGATTTCGATGATCGTCAAAAACTCCTTGGTCAAATGAAAGATATAAGGAGATATGCATTCGAGGCACGATCCCCACCTAATGAGAATTCTTGTTGAGATGATCTCTTCTTGTGGACACATGTGCTGATTCATTTAGATTTTAGATAGTCTGGGCTGAGTTCTTGTTTGAAGGATGGACTAATTTTGACGCTCGCCACGCCTGCATAGTCTTATTGGTTGGAGTTGAGATTTGGGTTCGATGAGCCGAACTTTTCTTCCACGTCCTGGGAAGTAACTTTTCTGGTAATAAAAATTTCCGACGGTTAAATATCTTTGGACCAATGTAGTAACTTAATTGTCTAGGTATTTATCAACTTTCGTTATTATATTTTTACAATTCTTAGCACTTAGCAACTTTTTTGGGGGGCCCTTCAGGTAGAGCAAAATTTTCTTACATAAAAATAATGAATAAATAAATTAATAAATCTTCACTTATCATCAATATTCATCTAGCCCTTTCTAATATTTCTACATACAATGTAAATTCAGCATACACATTTATTAAATCATTTATAGCTTATGATGTCTATAGTTTTTGATATAGTTTCTTGATAAAACGAATTTTGATGAAACGAATTTTCATGATCATAGCCATCATTTTTTTCATGATATCTTTGAAAATTTCATCATTTGCAGTTGCAACTGGGTAAATAGTACGCAAAAATTACTTTGAGAAAATTGTGTGCAAAACTATTGAATTTTGCCAGCAATAGAAATTGAATTTCATATTTTAAACATATTTTTAGAGAGTTTAAAATTACAATTACAATAAAAATTAAAAGAGATTATCTTACAGTACTGTAGTGATTTGCGAAATGACTCCAGTTGTAATTTTTCGAACATAATAATCGAGTCAAAGTCTCTGAAATCTATGTTTAGTATGAGAAATTAATATATTTAATTAGCAAAATGTTGAGTTTGAAATAAGATTACGGGTCGCTATATTTTGCATTTAGTTTTCGTTACGTTTCATTCCTTTGTTAATTTTTCGAGACATTTAGCAAATTGCTAAATTAATTTTGATTTTTTACTTTGCACAATCTATTCAAGAAATGACTTAATAAAATGCCAGTTTTCTTTTCTATTATATTTTTCTATTAAATTATATTTTTATATTCTTTTATGTTTGGGCCCCCCATGGACCGGTAAAAATAAAACTCTTTAAAATAATAAATTTACATTCCTCGCGTTCTTTCTTAATGGCATTAAATTTCATTGAACAAAGTTTTCACGATTAATTCGCTTTTAATGAAGTTTTTTATTATTATTAATATTTGCTTACGGACGTTGGGGGCCCCCCTGGCACGGGGGCGCCGTATTTTTGATACGGCTGATACGGCGGTAGTTACGCCCCTGATTCTTAGTTTATTTTGAGTTTTAACTAATTTAGTAAAGGGCATCTAAATGATACTAGGTGTATCATAATATTTAAACATTTTTTGATAATAATAATTATCATTATTATAAACAAGATAATTGTTTCAAAATTGACGTAAAAAATGCAGTATTTAAATAAGCCCTAATATATAGTATGTAAAAGCAATCTTTTCTTGGAAATGGTCACCATTTTTTAAATTGGTGCAACCGTTTTTGAGAAAGGTCAAATTTTGGCTCACATTCACAAGTTTGGTGTCAAACGAGACAGAATAACTTGAAACATAGAGAAAGCATAAAAACAAATCGAAAATCGATTTTCTAGTGAAAACATAAACTTTACCTTCGAAAAGTTAAAAATGATAATAATCATCTACTAACAATCTTGAATTTTTTAATTAACTAACATGGATTATGCAAAATTAAGAGAAAAGTTCGAAGTTATACAACTAATTAGTCTTCACATAATCTATCAAACATCTTCACCGACTGTCATTTCTTATACGTTCTTGCATAAACAATATATAACATTTATATATCTCGTCTGATTGAAAACATTTCCGTCGATTATAATCACAAACCAAGAGTCTAACATACACAATACATCGCAGAAAAAATTCTCATGATATCAGTCATCGAGCAATTGCAAGATTAGGCGATTGGTTATCATCATAGCACGAGCTGGAACGATTGAAATCCTCGAGTTTACAAGAGGCCTTTCAGCGCCTCTCAGCACAACGACTGAAATTGTTCCGAGATTGTTTGTTTTCGTCAATTCGCGAGATGTTCAGCTAATCAACATCAAAACTTCTACGATTGAGATTGAGGATACATCCTGGATCAATGAGTCAACGTTGATTTGATCTATTGTCTGCAGGTTCTATTGTTGATGACTGATGGACACGATTTGCTGGGAGAGGATCAAAAGGATGTTGGAGGATATGCGACAGATCGACCTCATCGACCAGATTTTCTTAATCGAACAGAATCTATTGCTGCTTTAATTAAGGACCAAATTCAATAACGATTTATCTATCTGAACTTCATTTCTAGTAATATGTATTATGAATTATCATTAACTTTTTGAAGTAGATTTCATATTTAAGTAATTATGAATTATTATAGACCAAAATCAGTCTGATAATTAATTTTAAGATCGTTTAGAAGTTCAATTTTGTGTCCGTGCAAATGACCTCATATATTTGTCGTCGCTGAAGACACTACGAGGCGTGGAATACCTGGGCCAAGAATATTCTATATGCTATGCGATAAAACAGTGTTTTTAAAAATGTTATCAGCACTCACTATTTTTATATTGGAAACATTATTCATATTTTATACAATGGGCCAAATAATCCAGAAATATTCATATAATAAAAAATATAAAATTTAATGTCATGTCTTCTAATTGTAAGTTCATTTGATGAACCTTGCAAAACTTTGACTTTAATAACATGAACAGCTATTAAATTTCAGATTTTAATAATGTTAAATATAATTACTATTTCCCATGTTAAGATAAACCTATATCCCGGATTAGGATATCTTTTCCTTTAGACTTTCCCAAGTAAAAAGCTGGGTACATTACAGGAAGGACGTGTCTTTCGCACCTCAGACAGCAAAGTTACATTACGTAGACTCCGCTGCAATCTGTTTTACAAAAAGAAATTAATATCTGTTCGTACGATCGATTGAAAGATTTATAGTAAGTGTTCATAGATCAAAAGTTCATAAATATTCACTATTTTTAGCTTAATTCAATTAGAACGCGGTTTTAAAGTTTATAAATATTTTTGAAATAATAAAACAAAGGTGATTTATGAAGACTTATGGAATGCAGTTGAATTTTATTAATAACAGTTTCAAAAACAATGTGATAACAAAAACCATCTAAGATGATAGCATTTTTAGATACGAGGTCTGTTCAAAAAGTTTTCGTAATTTTCGTTTTTTCAAAAAAATATTTATTTATTCGTCTACATTAATGTGGTCCCCTTCAAAGTAGTCCCCCCCAGATATAATACACTTATGCCAGCGTTTTTTCCAATTTTCGAAGCACCCTTGATATTCACTTTTTGATATGTCCTTGAGCACTCTCAGCGATTCGGCCTTTATTTCTTCAATCGAGGAAAACCGCCGTCCTTTCATGGGTCTCTTCAACTTTGGGAATAGGAAAAAGTCACACGGAGCCATATCTGGTGAATTTTTGCACTTTGCAACACTTTATTTCATTTTTTACGCAAAATTTAATACAAATTCTTTGACTTTTTCAATTCTTCTATTGTAAAAATCGCCGAGCTCAGAAAAACACGTCGAACCTTAGCGACTACCACAGACAAAGTAAACAGTGAATATAGCTGAAAATTTCATCATACTTTAGGGGCATGTATACCAACACAATAAAAAAAAATTTTGACAATCAGACACTCCAGACCCGCGAAATTTAATTATTAGTAATTCCGGGTACTTTTTGAACAGACCATGTACATTCAAAATTTTGTTAGATTCGCGACCAATTTAACTAAATTATTTATTTCATTAAGATAAAGAAAGTTATAATAAAAAAAAACAATCATGGTATCAATATTTTGTCACCTAATTTTGCTTGTCATCGCTATTTGCCGGCTGCTAAAATTCTAGCCCAAGATCACGGCCAGATGGAAGATGAGTTTGTATTGCACACTAACGCTATTATAATACATCTGAACATATTTTTATTTATTAGTCCAAAAAAATATGAAAAATAACTGGATAAAAATATTATTTATTATTAATCCATAGTTTCCCAACACGGGTGTAAATGGAATAAAATGTTGAAGCTTTTGGTTTTGGTCGATGCACCAACGACTGCACTGATCTCAAAAATTTTAAAGCCATTTGATAAAACTTGATAAGGACTTTTATTGATCTGTTTTGCATATGATTTTCTTAAATGCAAAGTTATACATCAATGTTTTAGCCAAACCAATTTTAAAAAGAGAACATTTCGCCTAAATACTTTAAGGGGGTATTCTAGTGTAGAGTGATGAATTTTAGGTCATTTTTAAAGTGTCGTAAAATTAAGCAATGAATGTTTTTACAATCGATTTTTTTACCACTTGTTTATTTATATTATTAAAATACAAAACAAAAATTAAAAAATAAAAAAGTTGAAAATTGTAAAAACTGGCAGCTGATGAAGTGGGTGGTCTCAAAAAATTGGCACCTCAGTCTTGACATGATTTCAGCCCTCCTAGCCATCGGAAATGAAAAAAAAAAATAAAAAGATTATTAATCTACAAAGATGTCGCAATCGCCCGAACTAGCGATGAGTAAAAAAAAATTTTTTACAAATTGGCAACTGTTTGAAAAAAGGGGTTTTTTACTGTTTTTTGAGTTTCTCGAATTTTTTAAAAATAGTAAAAATTGGAATTTGGGATAATCCTAGTTCGGGCTATAGATAGGTCTATAGACAAGACTCTCTAAACATTTCAAGTGAATCGGTCGATTAAAACTCGAGAAATCGTGTCAACAGTACCGAAAAAGTCTGTTCTGAGAAAAACTCATATAAAGTTTTGCGTGAAGACAAACCAGTATGGAGACCGAGTCAGTAAAATGCCTATATCTCCGAAAATAATTCAAATTTTCCAGAACCTTCTCGTACCCATATTCTTAGATAGTTAAACTTTCAAAATATGAAATAAAAAATCGATTTTTTTGAATTTCTACACTAGAATACCCCCTTAATCTTATTTCCTGTTGATTAAAAGGATTGTATCGGGAAGTTTATTCAACTGGCCTTAAAGAAAATGCCACTTGCACCTAGTTTAAGCTCATGAACTTTGTTCTGGACACAGTATAAAAATATATCGTACATCGTATCATAGAAATAGTACCAGTAGTACCGTATCGTACGTCTGGTAGCAATTTATTCTGATGCAGTAACATCGGCTCAGTCGACGACAGATCGACACCCTGCAGGAAGCTTCCACCGTTAAGCATGTCATCGCCGACACTAAACTGACTCCACTTTTCTGATACAGAACTCCTTTGTTTATTTTCGTTTTTATTTATATTTTATATTTATACACATGGCGGTATAAACAATCGATTTTATGAATTGTTTCATGCTGTATGTAAAACACTTGTAATTTTACATGTGGTGCTCGTAGACCGCACACAGTTGTAAAAGACCGTAGCCATAAGTGGATTTTTTCAATCACAGGATCCGATAGGACTTACATTGATATCGGTTTATTTGCTTATTAAATATAAAAACTATAATATTGTTTTTGATAGTACGTGTTATATCGTAATTTTCTTCACTCATTTAAGCCATTCTTAATAAAATACTTGATATAATTTGGCGATGCACTAAGATTTGTTCTGTTGTGCAGGCAACACCCTTTTACCTATATAATACCGATTTAGTTTCTTTTAAAAAAAATACGGAAAATAGGAAAAATTCTTTTACCACTCTCCTCTGTATATAATACTTTGTTACCAACTATTTACTATTATTAATTCTTTTTACATCTCAAATCTCTCTAGATAAAGTCCTTAGAGCTCATATTTCTAATTCGTTTTACGTGCCATTTTTTGCCTGAAATAAATGCCAAGAAAAAATATTAAAAGACGTATTATTTTCTGTGTAGTTTGAGCCTTGAACTGATAAAAATTTGGACATTGCTCGCGAAATTTAGACTTGATAATGGAGAATTTTATATGTTCAGCTCTATTTAATTAAGGTTTGTGCAAAAATGATAGGGGATGTCTATAATAAAAGCTAAGCTAATCATCGAGGGCAATATACTTTTTGCTTGACCTAAAATAATTATCTTTGTGGTGTATTATTCTCTATTATTACTAATATGGATTACTATTGGAAAGCACTGTTGAAAATTTACAATTAGTTTATAAAGTATAGTCATTAGTTTTCAAATATTGACAATACAAACAAATTTATGTTTTTTATGGATTTTATATCACTTTTAAATTTTGTTATTAATTAAGGCTGGGCCATTTAAGGTAGAAGGACCATTTAAAGTGGAAGCAATTGTCAATGACTAATAGCTATAAGCTTAGCACTTTGAACTATTGAAATTAAATTTAATTAAATTTTTGAGAAGACAGGTCTAGCGGTTTCGCAAATACACAGAAAAATGTAAAAAAAAACTACATTTGGAGGTCTAAACTGGTCATTAGACATAGGGGGCGTCCATTAATCACGTGAGTGAGTTTTTAAGGATTTTTAGACCCCCCCTGCCTTCTGGTGATATTTGGCCTTATTCAAAATTAACCCCCCCCCCTCCCTCGCCAAACATCACGTGTATTTTTAGTTACGTGAAAAAACTATAAAATTTTTGATTTTTTTTTAAAATGCTTGAACTTTTTTATAAAAAATAGTAAAATAAATAAATACACGTGATATCTTGCTATACCCCTCCCTCCCCCACGTGAAATTTCGTGATTTTTATGTACATAAATTCATCAGATATTTTATAGAGATTTCAAAGCTAAGCTAAGAGATTTGAGTACTAATTTTGTTACAATTTTTTTGGGTTCCGTACCAAATTTTTAACTTTTAAAATTCACTTAGGGATCGTTCAAGTATTACGTAAGCAGATTTACTACAATTATTACCCCCCCCCTCCCCTTTGTCATCAAAAGTAAGCAAATTTCTTAACAAAAATAGGCAAAATAAGCAAATCAGTAACCCCCCCGCCCCCCTATAGTGCTTACGTAATACTTGAACGGCCCCTTATGCGGTTCAAGTAAAGTTCAAAACTTTCAGATATTTTTTTTTCAAAATTTTCAAAAATATGCAAAGTTTTACACTTTAAATATAGATCTTAAATTTACAATTCGGTTCAAAACTGTATATATTTTATATGCGTTATTGTAATCGTAAGAAATATATCCTCAGATGGATACATTCACGAATTCACGGATTCACGAAATCTCTTCTTAATGTAAACATTTTCAAGTGTTTTGAGCGATAAGATCGCCACTGTATATTAGTTGTATGAACGAATACATAAGGGATCGTTCAAATATTACGTAAGCAGATTTCCTACAATTATTTACCCCCCCCCCCATCCCCCTTGTCAGCAAAAGTAAGCAAAGCTCTTACCCCCTACGTCCATGCTTACGTAAACATTTTGCAATTAATGCAGAAAATAATAATAATACCTATGACATAATTATCATCCAGACTCCCCTGCCTCCCATGTCAACTCAAATAAGCAAATCAACACCCCCCCCCCCCCCTTACTTACGTAAGTATAAAGAAATTATAATTATTTTTTTGAAAATATTTAAAACAATTGTTATTAATCATTGACAATATTGTTTGCTGGAATATTTAATTCTGGTACGGATAGTTCCAGCAATTTGCCTTAAGGCACGAAGCCATGCACCAGTAGCCACTTTAGTTTATGTTCAAACCATTTGAAAAATGATTCCATTATCACTTTTCGCTAAGCGATGGCGCTAGTGTGCCTGAATTTCTAGTGCCGCATATTCGTCACCGATGTCCACGCTTGCCAATTGCGTCCGGTGCAATGCAAACCTCTCTGCAAACGTATGTTCAATACGTCTCTATGACTATCAACTTCACTAAAAGTGGCATTTAATTTGTTTGTTCTCAGTTTTGAAATGTACTATAATTTAATTAAGCAATTTGTGTCGTGCAGTGAATAAAATGGTGCATTGATTTAAATAATATTTTGTTTAGTGATAATATAAAACAGCACTTCAAGTGCTACAGTTACTGGACGGCGTTTATTGGATATTAAGGTTAGAATTTGTAAAAATATTATTTATTTAATATTTATGCCTTCTAGCGTCATAAATTATTCAGCCAAATATACAAAGGTTGCTAGGACAATTTATAAATATTATCACATTATTAATGTTTATGTAAAATAATATAGATCGAAATTGTAGCATTTCGATAAAATTATGACGTGTTTGCTTTTGAATAAGTAACGTGACAAGTAATAAATAGGGCACGATAATTATGAAAATGCTGTCTAGTACATAAAAATTATGTACACATATAATCAATAATATTTTGACCTCATAAATTAAACCGTTATTTAAAAGTAACACACTTTTGATAATTGATTTTATTACTGATTGCGCAGAGCTAAATTCACTTTTAGAAAATAATTCTTTAGTGCAATTACTGAATCATATATTTTGTCAATAAAATTATATATTTGTGTGTTGACAACTTATATACAATGCATATGTAGCATATCAGTTTCAATAATTCAAATCAATAAGCATCTGAATTTAAAACATCCGGAAGACAAAACGTCTATTTAAAATTTAAATCACTTGCCATAATTGTTAACAAACAATGGCTCTTAAACAAATTCTATTAACTTACAAAATATTATTTTCTTTGGGTTAATTTTTGTAGTCTTTTCAATAAGTTTGATCAACATTTATTTTGACCACAAAATTTCGATTTAATTAGCATTGCGATATATTTTTTTATGTTTTGCTACTTGCACGAGTTTTTATATTTTTTGAAGTGAAACTTCTAATGCAACTTGCGACAGGGTTGAGAAGAGAAGTAGAAAGAGACTTGTGTGAAAATGTTGCAAATGGTCTGAAAATGTTGTAGATTGTGTGAAAATGTTGCAGATTATCTGAAAATAACGTAGATATGTCTAAAAATTATGGTATTGTCTGAAAACATTGTTGATAGTCTGAGAATGTTGTAAATGGTCTGAAAATGTTGCAACTGGTCTGCAAACAAGGTAGATTGTCTGAAAATGTTGCAGATTGTCCGCAAATAATGTAGATTTGTATAAAATATAATGTTATTGTCTAAAACGTTGTCTGAGTATGTTGTAAATGGTCTAAAAATGTTGTAGATTGTGTGAAAATGTTGCAGATTGTCTGAAAACATGGTACATTGTCTGGAAATGTTGAAGATTGTCTGAAAATATTGTAGATTGTCTGAGAATGCTGTAGATTATCTGCAAATGTTGAGAAAGTTGTAGATTGTCTGAGAATGTTGTAGATTCTCTGATCTGAAATTGTTGCAAATGGTCTAAAAATGCTGTAGATTGTCTAAGAATGTTGTAAATTGTCTGAAATTGTTACAAATAGTCTGAAAATGCTCTAGATTGTCTGAGAATGTTGTAGATTGTCAGAAAACATTGTAAATTGTCTGAAAATATTGTAGATTGTCTGCAAATGTTGAGAACGTTGTAGATTCTCTGATCTGAAATTGTTACAAATAGTCTAAAAATGCTGTAGACTGTCTGAAAATGTTTGTAGATTGTCTGAAAATTGTAGGTTGTCTGAAAACATTGTAGATTGTCTGAAAATGTTGCAACTGATCTGAAAATGTTGAAGATTGTCTGAGAATATTGTGGATTGTCTGAGAATGTTGTAGATTATCTGCAAATGTTGAGAACGTTGTAGATTCTCTGATCTGAAATTGTTACAAATGGTCTGAAAATGCTCTAGATTGTCTAAGAACATTGTAGATTGTCTGAAAATGTTGTACATTGTCTGAAAATGTTGTAGATTGTCTAAAAATGTTGTAGATTGTCTAAAAATGTTGCAAATATTCTGAAAATGTTGTAGATTGTGTGAAAATAATGTTATTTTTAAAAACGTTGTAGATTGTCTGAGAATGTTACAGCTTGTATGTGAAAATGTTGTAGATTGTCTGAAAACGTTGTAAATTGCCTGAAAACGTTAGATTGTCTGATTCTGATAATGTTGTAGATTGGCTTAAGATGGTGTAGATTGTAGGCAAACTTTGTGGGTTGTCTGAGAATGTTGTAGATGATCTGATAATATTGATGACATAAAATTCTTGCAAATGGTCTGAAAATACTATAGATTGTCTGAGAATATTGTAGATTGACCGAAGTGATGTGGATTGTTGACAAACTTTGTAGGTTCTCTGAGAAAGTAAGTTGTCTGAGAGTGTTGTAGATAATCTGATAAAGTGATATATTAGGTTGTCAAATATCTCCCTTCCGCTTTTTTGCTCTTGGTTTATGATACAAAAAGGCGGAAGGGAGATATTTGACAACCTTATATGTTATGATAATGTTGCATATTGTCTGAGAATGTTGTAAAAGTTAATTTCTACCCCATCCTTCTTAATTTACGCATTACGAAGTTTCACTTCTTCCTCGCGAAACGACTCCACGCTTTAATATTTTTTTAATAAAGAGATAAAATATTTTTAAAAAGTCGTACGAACAAAAGTGAATTTAATGCGCTAAATTTTATTAGAATTTTATTTATAGATTTTTTATAAGATAAGTGAACTTTTTCTACACATAGGCTGGATGTAAATTAAGGCTGATGCGGCTGAAGCTTTAGATGGCTTTTGCATTAGCCTTGTAAATGGCTATGTATATTTTGGTGTTTTGGCTGTTATTATATCTACGCACAATTTATATTGGATTAAACATATTTTTAATAAAAAATAATCATTCATTTCATTTTCATAAAAGTTGTTCAATCCGATATAATTATCCCATAACTTACAGGTACTAACATATTATTATGCATGTAGATAACAACTATCTTGAAAAGAGGTTTTAGAATTGCAATAAAAATTGCTGAATACTTCAAATACATTTACTAAGAACACAAAGCATTCACAGACCGTTTTGTTATCTATTATTTAATTACTGCAGCATTTTATTTACATTGTCGTGATTCTAAAACTTCTTGATAACTAACTTTCATCAGGTCGGGCTATGCGGTGCATTTTCACATCTTTATCTGTATATATCTGGACTAACAAACTGTGTAACTGATGAATCAATCTTCTCTATAATAAATTAAATACCATCGAAAAATATAATTGGCAAAAGTCGATAACTGCTCCAACATTCAAAAGTTTATCCAAATATGCCTGTGTCAAGAAGGAGCAGGTATGGACCTCATATGGCATCAGCCCATGTACCAGTTCTGGTACCAGAAGAAAGAAATAGACACAATATCAGTGTCTCACAATCGGAACCAGATTTATCAACAATGACCAAGGAACAATTGAAGGCTGAATGTAGACGTAGAGGACAAAAAACGACAGGAACCAAAACCGAACTGGTACCTCATTATTATAAAGATTTTGTAACGTGAAAAGCTTTAAACGTTTTTTTGTAGAACATTGATTTGGTATGCAAAATAGATTGTGGTTGACTTGGAGATTAATGTGACCTAAATTTATTGATTGTTTTTTACTTGCATAGATCAGTTAATATGGTAATAAGAACTCTGGAGTCACGTAATGGTACAACCTAGTTAAAACTAGAGTTGGTAAAAAAAAGATGGTATATACTAGAAAACAAGGTAATCAAATATGTAACTGTAACTTTAAAGGTTAAAACAAGAGAATAAAAAAAAATTCTAGTCATTTTTCCATTTTGTATCAAATCAATGTTCTTACATCTTTGCCAAGTTTATATCGTGGTTGATTTTTGGTTAACTCGTCTGCTTGTCGATTTTTGTTTTATTGATTTTTTTTTTGCTTTCTTGTTATTATGATTAGTTGTAAATTTATTATTGTACCTGTAATTATTCTACAAACACTTGAGCATTTATAATCTAGAGGTCATTAAACCTCTCATGACCTGATTGTTTGTAAAGAACTTCAGAAATTTTTTATTGCAGGTTCCAGCTGATCATAAAAATGTTATTGCTGATATAATATTTTTTGAATTTCATTCGATATATACATTTTATTTTTTTACTTTGATAATAGTACTTTATCATTCGTAATTCTTGCAAAACCAGAAATTTTAAAGTTTTAAATATATACCTTATCATACTGGAGTACTTTATCATATAGTTTGCAGATGTATGTAAATAATTTAATACATCGTCTGAAATGTATAAAAGTTTCATCACTGTTTTCTATATTTGAGTAACACTCTGAGAAAATTATACTACTTTAGATGGAAGGTCTTGGCAAAACTTTATATATTTTTTTAAATATATTTTGTGTGCCAAACATACTGGAAATTTTGGTGATACACGACTTATTTTCGTACTGCTACCAAAATGTGAAGATGATAATAAAAATTAATTAGTAAATTCATTAAATTTAACACCTTTTTAGCTCAGCTTTTCTCACCAACAAAACATCACGATTTATTTTATTTAAAGTTTTTCATTTTCAATGCACGTGAAATATAATTTTAATTTTTAACAATTCATTGTGACGTCAAAGACAATTTTTCCTTTATCTCTGTACGATGGTTAATCTTATATTAATAATTATTATCAGATAATTATTAATCAAATACTGTGTAAATGATCCAAGTGATTTCGAAATAGAACATTTTCTATATTCATAGTAATTTTTTATTAGAGTGTGCAGTGGTTGTTTTAGTGTTCTTCATGGTAATAATTATCTCATTAATAATTTGCTTCTAATTGCATGGGTTTATTTTGTCTTATCAATGCAGGTAATAATTTTCATTGCATGTCATCATTTATAACTACTATTGTGCTTATTTTATACTAATTGGCATAAAAGTAGCATTGCATTGCTTTATTATATGTTAATTTTTATCACGAATATAAATTTTTATTGCAGCTTTTAAATCTTGATATGGTAATAAATACACATACACAGCAAATGCTGTAAAAATGTTTTATCAGTAAAATAACATTTCTTTAAAAAATATTATATTGTAATAATTATTTTAAAAAAAATATTAAAAATACTTAGAATTAGTAAAATCCTATTCTACTTATGACAAAATTTCTTTGAAGTGCTTTCATGCACTTTCAGGATTTAGATTATGTTTATTTGAGAATTCAATTTTTCTAAAATGTTTTTTTTTTTGTTTTATTACGTGTGACATAAGTTGTTAAAATATTTCAAATTATATAATATAATTAATCTTTGTTTTTCTATATTTGTTTCTGTCGCTCACACAAGTTTGTTTTAAAATTTGTCTTCACATAAATAGATACTAAGGTCAGTGCTATAGTCCGATCTTTGACTCTTGGTTCTTGACTATGTAAATTAATTTTAATATCTTAAATAAATTAATCAATTTCACGGAATAGTACATGACGGATTATAAATTTATGTTTTTATATCGAGAAGACAACATACATGATGTACCTTATTTTTTATTCATGAATCAGCATATCTGTTTATAAATCTTGTGTGAACTGGTATTGGCAGGAATATCAGAATAACATGAGATTATCAAGATATATTTAACTGTAATAATGGCTTACTTTAAATTTTAAAAAGTATTGAGAAATTTGATTATACTTCTTTGTAAAATCTCTGATCAAGGATTTGTTAGGGGGCCACCTTGATGCCAGAAACATCATAATCTGTGGTTATTTTTTATTATTTTCAAATCTGAAATTTCTACTATTTTTTCACAATGCATAAAATTTACTAATGTGCTTTCTTTACGACATAAGATATATTTTATTATCATTTTATTTTGCACATTTTTAAAAGACGATTTGGATTACATTTACATATCGCATGAACGCTTCAGTGATTTAGCACATTATTGGCACCACAAAGTCGTGTCTGGCTTTTACAAAATTATAATACTTGCATTTATATAAAAATTGATTGAGAAGTAAGAGAAAATAGTAGATTCAAATATATTGAGAAAAGATAAATCATTACGTTTTTGTCCCAAATCAGTATTTTTTCCAGTGTGCAGCAAAATCTGCAGTTTTTTTTATTCTACTCCCTCTTGGTTTAGTGTTTAGAGCTATGATTTTTGAATCAAAACTTTCATGTTCCACACTTTTCTCAGTCAGCCTGATGTCAAGCAGTAGTGAAAATGGTAGATTCCAATATATTTGCACAAAATAAATCATTTTTTTTATCTGTTTCTATTCAAAATTATACTTTTGTTTTTGTCCCAGATCAGCAATTTTTCTAGTGTGCTCCGAAATCTGCACAGTATTTTCTATTTTATTCCATTTGGTTTAGTTATTAGAGCTTCTATACGCTCCTCAGACAGCCTGATAGCAAGCAGTGGTGACATCAGTTTTTATTTAAAAATATAAATAGGCATTGCTGCATCAATAAAAAATCAATATTACAGAAATTTTAATAATAAATTAATTAAATAGAGATAGGAGTTCGGATTCCCATCTATAAAAGGCCACGTCATTAAGAAGTGATCACAACAAATTTATTAGGGTGGTCCTTAAAATGGTCATTTTTGAATTTCCTTGCTCCCAAGGGCGAATAGATAAAAAACAATTCTCTGAAAGTTTAAGCTCTTAATATGAATTGAATTAGAGCGCAATTCAATCAAAGTTTTGTATGGAAATAGTACGGAAAAACTTTCAAAAATTTTTAAAATGTTTTTCAGATGTAATTTAGCGAACAAATGAATGAATAAAACTCATTCATTTGTCGCTAAGTTATACCAAAAACATTTTTTTGTAAATTTTCAAAAATTTTTCCATGCTCTTTCCATACGAAGTTTGATTGAATTGCGCTCTATCAAAACGTTAATATTAATAAAATTTTCAGAGAATTGTTTTTTATCAATTTGGAACCATTTGATCCCCTGGGAGCAAGGAAATTCGAAAATGACCATTTTAAGGACCACCCTAAAATTTATAGGGCTAATATATTTCAATTGCTTTTAATAACATATAAAAAATGTGATTATCCCAGATCAACAATTCTTGTAGTGTGCTGACATTTTCTCAGTTTTTCTATTATTTTTTCGGTGGACTAGTGACGTAGAGCTATGTTTTCAATCAGACCTTTCTTGTTCTATACACTCCTCAGGCAGCCTGATGTCAAGCAGTATTGTCATTGGCTTTCACTGCAAAATATAGGTAGCAATATGTATTTAAGTGAAAATAGCCATTTTCCGACATTGCTGTATTAATAAAAAAAAATTCTTCAGTATCACAGAATTTGCAATAGTGAATTTAGAATATACAACAATTTCATAAGGCTCGTATGTTTCAATTCCTATTAATAATATGTGAAAAAAATTGAGTGTCCTAGGTTAACCATTTTTAGTAGCGTACTGCAAAATTTTTGCAGTACTTCTATTATCTATTTTTCTTCATCTGATATACCTATGTTCTAACGTAAACACATCAATTTTTTTTTATTGAAAACGAAAATGTTTTTAGATATAAAAACAATAATAACTTTCACATCATTACCAATTTACGATGAAAGCGAAAAGAGAGTTTTACAAAGTGGGGACTTTAATATACGGAATATCCACATACGATACTTTCTCACGAACTTTTGTTCCGATCGATGCGTCATAATTAGCATCTTCGAACATCGTAGTAAAGATCTAAGTTTATCATGAAATCGTCTTTTAGCCAAGTATTTGCGACTAAATATAACCATCTAGACGGGCTACTTGTGATCTTGACATGTCAGAATTAAAACAATTAAACAAATAATCGTGTCGCATTGGAAAACAATATTACAATAAATGTTTGTTTAGTACGTAAATTCAGTGTCGATAAGCGGCGATGCACTGTCGACCGTTGGCTATTTCATTTGGTTGGCCATTTTATTGGCTTTGAAAGGCGAAGTAACGACACGATGTGAGGTGATTTGCCGCGAATTCGATTGTTTTCAGTGGGTGATTATAAATGCGATTTATCGCGTGATTTAGTATGGAACAGCTGATAGATTTACCGAACGGTGGCGACTGTTGTATTTCGATAATGGCAGACATTGGCGAAGATGCGCAAGAAGTGAGTCGATCAACTATTTTCTTATTTTCTGACGAGCCTGATAATACACAATACACATGCGGAATAAAAATTTAGAATTTTTTTTATAGTTTAGTGCTCGTTTTCATGTGATGTGCACGTCGTCTTTATCCGCCCGAATTTCCATTTTCAAATGTTAGCATTAACATTCCTGAATATAATAAAATATCCTTTCCTATCTGATATTGCGTGACTAACCACTTGAAATTGAATAGAGAATTCGGACACCGACGATCGTTGGTGGGGCAGAAGACAGTATATCGAACGACTTGTAACGGATAACACATAATGCTAATTTAGGTTTCCATATTTTAAATTTTAAATTATAACTGATGATGAGACAAACCTAGTCT